AGTGGTAACTGGCCATATCTTTGCCTCTTTGTCTTCCTGCAGATCCGATTTGCATCCACTGTAACTGGAATTGCCTACCTAGGATTTTCTAGATCCAGACCAAGGGCTTCATTGTTCACTGGCTTCCTCAGCAAGTGAGTAGCTGCAGCACTGCTTCTGCATAGAGTACCTGGGGATGTTCCTGACTGAAATCTTTTTTTTTTTTGGTACTGGGGATCGAACTCGAATCCTTGTGCTTGTGGGGCAGGCAGCAGAACCACTGAGCTAAATCCCCAGCCCCTGACTGAAATCTTTTCGGGCTTCCCTGTGGTACCCAGTTGTGAGTAATACATTTCCCAGTGGCAGAGGCTATAAAGCAGTGATGGTGAACCTTTTAGAGCTTTCAGTGATATAGACAGCCCGCTGTGGCACACGTGTCGTAGGTTCACCACCACTGCTATAAAGGATTGTGATTTTGCAGGCAGAGAAACTGGTGTTTAAAATCTCAGCAAACCAGTTGTTTCCTTTTCTGTGGCTATTAATGTAGATATTTATAGAAAACACTGAACTAATGAGAAAATATGGACTTCAAATATTGAAGTAGTTTTAGTTCCAACATATATCTGAAGCCAGTGGGATTCATTTGGGAGCTTAGAATTGGCAGACTCAGGGTCAGGTCAGGTAAAATGCCCCTTTCACTTGGAGGAGTGAAGTTTTAAGACCATGACCTTCAAAGTACCTGAGATTATTTCCACGGAAATGCTGCAGCACATTACTTAAATTTAATTGGCCTTTAAAAGTGTTCACACATCACAAATATAATAGAAAACAGCTGTTTTTAAATAATGGACTAAGGTGACCTGGCTTTTGGCAACTGATCCAGTTCAGTTTTAGTCCATAAAGGCAGTCCGTTAATTATTTGCCGAATATGAGATCATTTTTGCACCTTCATAAGATCTCTATTTAGAATTCAGTTTACAGGGCCAGGGAATTAGCTCAGTGGTTCCGCCACCTGCCACGCAAGTGCAAGGTCCCAAGTTCGATCCCACGTACTGAAAAAAGAATTAGGTTTACAAAAATCCAGCCATTGTAGCCATGTAAGCAAGAAATGTACAAAGAACATAGCTAAGAGAAGAGTAAAATTTCTGATTTTTTCTTAATCTCCAAGGAATGCCACCCCTCTACCTTCAGTAAGAAAAAGACCCTGCAGGACTATCCCATAGGAACCAGTTGGACATGTTTCTGTCCTTAACTTTTCTAAAAATAGGATGAAAATTTCCATTTAAGAGATTAAAAAAAAATTTTTTTTAACATTTACCAGAGAGCTGAGTTTTACATTGATTGTACATATTTGTGTCTTAGGCTACTTTTCCTTTTTTTTTTGAGACATGGTCTTGCTATGTAATGTAGTTCAGCCTGCCCTTGAATTCTGTATGTAGCTCAGGCTGGCCTCGATGTCATGGCAGTCCTCCTGCCTCGACCTCCCGAGTGCTGGGACTATAGGTGAGGGCTAGGATTATAGGCATGTGCCACCATGCCCTGCAGTTAGGCTACTTTTCCTAACCATCAATAGAAAATGATTTGTCTATATCCTTGAGAAAATGTACCCTAATTAAAGAAAATAATTTTCTGATCCTTTCCCTTTCCCATTCCAGAAACACTGCAGAAAGCTGCGATAAATCAGTAGCATTTAAAGTACTAACAATTACCTGTGTTTTGCAGGAAGGAGACTCACTAATTTTGGATTCCCTGGTGGAAGACACAAAACTCGCTGGTTTTGCCTCCGATGATGCAAGTGTGATTGCTGGCATCTTCATGAGCTCCAGAGGTCACAGTACACTGCCACGGACTCTCATGGCTCCTCGGATGATTTCCGAGGGAGACATAGGAGGCATTGCTCAAATCACCTCCTCTCTCTTCCTGGGCAGAGGCAGTGTGGCCTCCAACCGGCACCTCCTTCAGTCTCGTGGCATCACCTGCATCATTAATGCTACCATTGAGATCCCTAATTTCAACTGGCCCCAATTTGAATATGTTAAAGTGCCTCTGGCTGACATCCCACATGCCCCCATTAGACTGTACTTTGATACCGTGGCTGACAAGATCCACAGTGTGAGCAGGAAGCATGGGGCTACCTTGGTGCACTGTGCTGCAGGGGTGAGCCGCTCAGCCACACTCTGCATTGCTTACCTGATGAAATTCCACAACGTGTGCCTGCTGGATGCGTACAACTGGGTGAAAGCCCGGAGGCCTGTCATCAGGCCCAATGTGGGCTTCTGGAGGCAGCTGATAGACTACGAGTACCAGCTTTTTGGGAAGTCAACAGTTAAGATGGTACAGACACCTTATGGCATAGTTCCAGATGTTTATGAGAAAGAGTCCCGACACCTGATGCCTTACTGGGGGATTTAATGCCACCAAAGCCTGCATCAGCAGCCCCTTGAGCAGTACCAGCATCTGCTACACACCATCTGCTCCCCTCTTCCTCTTTCTTTTCAAATGGTTGACTTTTATTTTTCCCTCAAGTGTTTTTACACTTGGTATTCAAATTTAAAAGAAAAAGGGAGGGGATGCAAGGGGAATGCATACATTTGCTAGTAATGTTTTTTTTAAAACTAGCATCTTGAAATAGTGTTTATGAAAATCTTTAACAGGCTTTTAATCATTTTTAACAATTTGACAGTTTAATAAACTGGTTCTGCTCTATTCTGAATCCCATGCCTTTTGGAACCATGGCAGGTGCAGGAGTTCAGTCCCCCCCAAAAATCGCTGAGTCCTGAAACCCTTTAGAGACAAGCTTTGGCCAAGGCTGCTAACCATACAGATGCTTAGGGAAGATTGATTCCAGCTTTAGTCTCTACTGGATTAGTCCTATTCTTTCCTTTGCCCTCTATTATTTAGTGACTGTAAGTTAAAAATAAGTAAACTGTTATTATTTAGTTAAGTAATTATGATGAAATCTACTGCAAAGACCTTGAAATCAGTGTGCCCCAGGATTATATCAGCATTATTTTTAATAAATATATGTGCTTAACAGAACTTTTACTAATAATTTCAGTGTACGTGTGTGTATGTGTGTTGATGGGAGAAAGATGCTCTCCAATAACTACTAAACTGGCTCTTGGAACAATTAGCACTACTTCAAATAGACACCCCAGCTGAATTGGGTTAATGTCTTGCATCCTTGCAGATGGGCAGACATAAATATTCACATGCTGGAAGAGTGGGAAACTGTGTAAGTTTTGATAAAAGGTACTGTTTTCAGTTTTCTCCAGGTGAGGAGGAGTGTGCTAAAGTACTGGGGTCCTCCTCCAAATTGGTTTTTTGGAACCAGGGATTGAACTCAGGACCTTGGGCTTGCGAGGCAGGCAGTGGCACCACTGAGCTAAATCCCCGGCCATCAAATTGGTTTTTAACAAAAAGTGTGCCTCTGGTCGACTATTAACATGCAAGAATGTTCTAAAACAAATCTCAGTATGATAAGCAAATAAGCAAGTGGGCTGGGCTTGGTGGCACATGCCTGTATGCCAGTGCTCAGGATGCTGAGGCAGGAGGACTACCGTGAGTTTGAGACCAGTTTGAACTACATAACAAGATTGTCTTAAAAAAAAAAAAAAAAAAAGGATATAGTGGCCTTTGCTTTAACTCTGGAAAGGTCACCCAGTTTCCTGCTCCTAAAAAAATCTGACAGCACAGCCCATCAGGGATGGGGCAAGAATTAATGGCCCTCCTGGGAAACTATTGGGTGTTGACTAGGTTGCCCCTTATTTTAGACAGGAGAGCCACCTGAAGCCTGCACTGTACTATGAGAACCATTGTCATAGAACTGCTTTATTTTACTTTATTTGCCGGGTGGGTCATAGCTTGGAATAATTTTCTAATTTTATGGCCTGTTTTGCCAGGAAGCCATAAATATTGCCAGAAGTTACCTACTTATACCATTTTTCTTTATTCAGTACTAGGGATTGAACCCAGGGCCTGTGCATGCTAGGCAAGAGCTCTACTATTAAGCTATATTCACAACCGTTTTTATTTTAAAATTTTATTTTTCTTATTTTTGAGGCAGAGTCTTGCTAAGATTCCCAGGTTGGCCTTGAACTTGGATTCTTTTTTTTTAAAAACAAGGTCTCACTATGTAGTTCAGGCTGCCCTTGAACTTACTGTGTAGTCCAAGCTGGCCTTGACCTCTCAGTGATCCTCCTCCCTCAGCCTCCCCAGTGCTGGGATTACAGGCGTGCACCGCCACATAGGCTTTAGACAAATTTATCTTCCAGTTTCACCTTGTTTGTGGCAGTGGGTTTCCATCCAAATTCTAGTTTTGTTCTATAACATTTGCACACTCTTGTAAATATATAACGTTATTGTCTAAGCAGGAAATTTAAACATTTCTTTGGGAAATAAGAGGAACACACAAAAGGAAATGCAACACTCTTAGCACATGATCAAAAACCAAAATTGTTCTGGGAGATCATGGCTTTACCAAGAGACCAAGATTTAAGTCTCAGTCTCTGAACAAGAGCCCTGAAATAATCATTGTACTTACAGGAAGAAAACAACTGGTGACAGATATTGCTGGTGGTAGTTAAGGAAAATTTCCTGTAGAAACCTGGCAGATAACACCACTGAGCTCTAATTAAGAGTCTTCTTGGGCCAGGGGTTTTAGCTCAGTGGTGCTGCCCCTTCCTCACAAGCACAAGATCCTGAGTTTGATCACCAGTACAGGGAGGGGAGAAGCACTAGGCAGAAAGAGTGTCCTTAACACTTGGAAAGCCTAACTCCTAGGTGCTTTGGTTCTTGTTCATTCTTATGGTCTGCATCTATGTGAAATCTTAACGCTGTAAAGCAAAGACCAAAAGATTAGTAGCATAATTTCTTTTTCTTTTTTGCTACCAGAGATTGAACTCAGGACCTTGCACTTGTGAGGCAGGCAGTGGCACCACTGAGCTAAATCCCCAGCCCTAGTAGCATAATTTGTTTCAGAAGTTTAACAAGTGGTTACTTAAGAACAAGCCCTGAGAATATTTTAAAGGTCAAGTTTTATAATGTGTGAACATGTCAATTAGGGCAATTGTTTATTAAAATGTAAACGAAGGAAAAAAGCCACAGTACTTCATAAAATACAGAACCAAATTTCACATCACACACAAGACAACACATTTCACTATGGACCACAGTACCCACTAATATAGCCACAGCTACAAGATGAGGTATCATATGTGAATGCTTTAAACCCGCTTATACTATGTTCACATCAGCATATAAAGGATGGACTTAAGTAAAATTTTTGTTATAATGATACTTATGGTTGAAAAATATTTGTAAAGTAGCACTTTTCAACTGAGCTGTTTCACTTACTGAGTTTTATTTTCTTGGCTTTACCTTGCAAGAAGTCTTTTTGATATTACTTGGTACACACTTTCCTCAAGAAATATTAATGTAACCTAAACATAAAAACACAGGCTAAACACAACTTGCCTTGCATTCTGACATTTGCTGGGATGGTCCACAGCAGGCTGTAATGCTGTCTTTTGAATGGCAAATGTCTTTGAAACAGTCTCTTAGATGCTCGCAAAGGAAGGAGTCTGACCTAGAAGGTGTTAAAGGGAATTTTCATAGCAAGCCCCAGTACAGAGCATATATTTCAAATTTCTATAACAGAGCTCCTACAACTTTCTCAAAACTTAAAAACACTTTTTTTGTTGTTTTCTGAGACAGGGTTTTGGTATGTAGTTCAGGCTAGCCTTGAACTTACAGGGTAGCCCAGGATGGCCTTAAATTCCCAGTGATCCTCCTGCCTCACCTTACCTGGCAAGAATCACACTAATTAAATAGGAAAGATGATCTCTTTAAGAGATCTTAAACAAAAAATCACAAACATCTTTTATATATATATTCACAAAATACTCTTAACAATTTAAAATACACAGCCTATGTGAAATGCTAACTAATGGCCAAAGAAAAAGCATGGGTAATATCCTTGTTTACCTTGTACCTTTTTTATCTCACGCATGTCCAGACAAAAATTAAATTACACACTAAGCCACAGCGATTTAAAAGGCAAAACAATACCAAAAAAGAAAAGTGCTTATTAATCACCATTCAAGCAGTGGGGTGAAGCTGCCCAACACAATACACAGACAGCATGGAAATAAGTAACCTTGGTTACTGTTTCCAAGGACACTGGGCTCTTTGCTGACAAGAGAAGAGCTGAGGTGAAGCTGAATGCAATGTTGAGTCATTTCAATAAATGCATAGAAAGAAAATCAGCCCAATGGCATTCCACATTCCCCAAATCGTTATTGGTGGTATCTAAACATTTCAACTATTAAGCAGATATTAGAAGTAATGAGTATTTTTCATAGCAAAGGTTAAATTTTCCTCTGGTGCCTTCCAAAGAGTGACTAAACCTATCATACTTGGTAAAGATAACTGTGATTATACTCGGGAATTTATCTCAGTCATTCTAGAATAAATCTAGGAATGGATGCCAGTCTAGTAAACAAGTACTTAAAAAATGTTGGGGCTGGGGACTTAGCTCAGTGGTTCCGCCGCCTGCTGCACAAGCGCAAGGACCCAAGTTCGATCCCTGGTACCAAAAAAAAAAAAAATGTTACTGATACAGGCCAGTGGTGGCAAACCTATGACACATGCTGCAGTGAGCTGTTATCACTGAAAGCTCTAAAAGTTCGCCATCACCGACGGGCCACTGTGACAATAACAACCCATATAGTATTTCTGAAAACTGTTTCAGCAATACAAAGTTTATCGAACTGGGAAGCGTTCTTGCTCATCCTGGTTCTCTTAGATGCTTGTTATGCTGAAGCACTAGGGCTGTCCAGGATGAAGCGGAGCAGAACCCTCAGGAATAGCCCGCTGAAAATTGGCCCCGTGTGTTGTTATGAACACCACCACTGCTGGGAAGAGAGATGGCTCCAGGAGGCAACTGAGTCAGCTGTCCCACTCATTAAGAGCTGGATGGGCCAGGGATTTAGCTCAGTGGTTTTGCTGCCTGCTGCGCAAGCGCAAAGACCGGAGTTGATCCTGGGCACCAAAAAAAAAAAAAAAGAGCTGGAGATGGTGTCATGTGGTGCAGATAAGAGCATTTATTTCATCAGTGCTTCTCTGTGTTCTGGTATATAGCAAGGTAAATCAGAAGCATATCAATAGCTGTTTAAAATGTTCTAAACTTTCTTAGAGAAAATGTGAAAGGTATAAGAACAACAGAATTCCCTCAAATTTTGTTCAGAGGAGAAAATAATTATGTAAAAGCAGCACTTAAGACAGAAATCAACCTTTTCAATTTTCAAGAAAAGCTTATGTCTACGTCAGAACCTGTCATACAAAGTGAGTCATTCGAGATTCAAAATCTCTTCATAAAGCATATAACTAACAGTTAAGAGAAACATTTGCCCTAGATTGGTATGTTCTTCCTCAGAAATAATAGCCCTTAACCACGTGGCTTTTGTTCTCCTAATTTTCCACATTCAGCCTAAATGTCAAAGAAAAATTCCTACACCAGAAACCATGAGCCTTTTCCTTTTAAAATTTAATACTATTGCTGAACAATTTCCTTCCATGCTTCCGTGGCATGTATCTCTACCATAAATATACGTATGTCCACTATTCTTACTGGGCTAGAGCCCACCTTCTCACCCTAAGTTCATTTTCTGGTCTCTCAGGCATACTGCAAGGTTAGGCAGCGCTGGCTCTTATGCAGTCACCTTTGGAAATGAGAGGTTGCTACAGAGAGACCGCATTCCATGGCCTTTCCAGATTTTTTTTTTTTGAGACAAAGTCTTGCTGTGTAGTTCAGGCTGGCCTTGAGCTCACAGTGATCCTCCTGCCTCAGCCTCCTGAGTGCTGGGATTACAGGCATGTGCCACCATGCCCAACTTCCTTTCCAGATCTTATCTGCAAAAATGCCATGCTTCATACTAGCCTTTGTGTGACGCAAAACAAGTTTTCAGCGAGAGCTCTGAAGAAAGCTATTCATCCCAATACACAGTTTTAGGCCTCTGTCAAATGGATGTTCTCCACAGCAAAGGGCCCAGGTATGTTTTGGGAAAAAGTCTTGAGAGTTGACAGTTCAGAAATAAAGGAAAAGGAGTAGAGAAGAGGTTCAGCTGTGACAGCAAAAATGGTAATTGTCCTCGCTGCAGCCATTGTCTAATGGAGATGAGCAGGTTTTATTTTTCTAAGAAGATAGAGCATCAAGTTAATCACAAATTCCCTTTTTATTCATGTCAGATATTTACAAACTAATGCAGAGAAATGCAGTCTACTTCACAGGACCATTACTGTCCTAGATAGAAGCAAGCACTGGCTTGAAACAGTCCTTCCAATTCCAGTCCTACAATAATAACTTACTTTTTAAAAAATGTCAATTCTTCACAGCTTGAATACTGTAGCAGCAAATTCTTTCATAAAGAAAACTGTGGCCCATATTTAAAAACACCTTAAGAGAATTAGAAATAAGTGAGCAAACTTTTGATGCCATATGCTGTTCAGGAAGGGCAATTTTACCTCAAATCCCAAAGGCAAGCAGTGGGAATGCGAGCTCAAATGTTGCCTGTAGGAGTGACTGGGAAGCTCCACTGCATTTTTCTGCCCTACCTCTTGGGGAATTCTTCATACAGATTCATGGAGATGAACTTCACCATACTCAATTCTGTTTAGTGGTCCCTGTCACCCCAGGGTGAGTGACAGAAAACAAACAAAAAACCCCCAAAACAGTTGGTGCTTCATGGAGGAGATTTTCAGAGCAAATCAGGCAGGATGAGGCCAGGAGGCTTCGGTTCGACACAGTTGATCCAGAAGTTGGCACAGCTGGCGTGGTATTGGTGCCCTCCATATGCCAGCTTGAAACTGTCTGTTTCTGAGTTGAATGCCTGCCAGAAATAGATGGAAATGTGGGGCAAGTCAGACTTTGTCTGCATCTAAGAGCTGATCAGCAACCAACACGTACATCTCTCCAGGTGTCAGGGCTGAGGCCCGAATGGCACACACATAAAAGCGAGCAAGCAGTGGTCGGAATTCAAGTGAAGGAGTTTCTTTACTGCTAATTAAAGGTATAAAAATCATTACCATTCAACCTAGTTTTAGCAAAAGGCCAAATCTTTCAAAGAAAAGGCAGGCAGAGGTTATGGGGAGGGAAGAGGAACCATGATATGGGGGAAAAAAAATAGTCAAGGGTTGTAGAGAATTGTTATCCCTCGTGTGCTGAAGCATGTCCCCTCCTAAAGACTGCTGCCTGTCACCTTAAACTTGTTAAATTACAGTCCTATCATGACAGTAAAATTATCAGAGTTAGGAACCACTTGATAACAGCGTGTAGTGTCTAATGCTATTGGAAGCTGATGAGTGAATCGACACACAGCAGCCCCTAATCTGCAGTTTCAGTTACCCACAAGAGACCAGTCTAAAAATATCAACAATTTGTTTTTACTCTTTCATAAAAGACTACATTCACATCAATTTTATTACAGTAAATTGTTATAATTATTTTACTATTTCTGTTACACTTGTACTGCACCTAATTTATAAATTAAGCTTTATCATAGATATGTATGTATAGGAAAAAAATAGCATATATAGGGTTCAGCACTATCTAAGGTTTCAGACATCAACTGGGGTCTTGGAATGTATTCCCTGCAGATAAGAGAAGACTACTGTCATTAAAAAGTCCCAACAGACTTGTGGCTCATAAAAAATAAATGGCATTAAGCACATAAGAATGATTTTCACATCACGTGAACCACTTTCTGGGATTAGTTTGTTTGACTGTTTTTTTAATCTTGAGACAGAGTCTCTCTAAGGTTGGATTCAAACTTGTGATCCTCCCGCCAAGGCCTCCCAGAGTACTGGGGTTATAGGCCTGTGCTGCCATGCCCAGTTTAAATGATTTGTTTTTGTCAGTTAAGGGCTAAATCCTGAAGCTCTCTGATTTTATTCAGTGTATCACTACAACTTCCAGTCTTCCAAAAGTTGCTGATTGTGTTACCCTGTTCACTGCAGAAGCCGAATAACACCAGAAGCCAAATGTGAGATACAGCCATGCAAACAAGACAGCAGTGGATCCACACAGATGTGTTAGTTGACTAAATCAAACATCATGGGAACAAAAATGACTCAGTAAAGGATTCATGATTGCAACGGTCCAGGAGGGCAACATAATCATCCATTTGCCTTCCACACTCAAAATTAAGATGGAGATGCTAAGATAATGTGTAACTGGTTCATACTTTTTTAGGATGTTCTTCTGCAGGCTTCTCTTCTTTCTGAAATAATGTTGAAACCATAAGGTCAAAAAAATTCAAGGTCAAAAAAATTCCCAGAACAGGGCCTCTTGCCTCTAAATAAATCCTCATGGGTTTAACCTTTTCTCTTTAAGGCCCCACTGCACACAGGATGCTGCAGGCACAATCCTGTGCTTATTAAAAAGGAAGGAACAAAGTTCATTCCTTCAACAGCACCCCCCACTGCCCTTTGGAAAGACAGTCTGCTTTTATGTCCTCTTTCAGGACTTCTTAAAATCTCCACCTTTGGTCAGTGAAGGAACTACAGGAGGCTGCCCCCCCAGTGCATGCTGGGAAGCACTATGCCAGAGCAGGGGAAGGTGTGTCACTTACCCGGCTCCTGGAGTCCACATTTAAGAGGCACACCCCACAAGCAAGTTCCTGAGCATTTTTAATCCCAGGCCGAAGCATACAGGAGGAAAAATCCAGCGAATTTTCATCTGGCTGTGAGGATAATGCAAATGGGTAAGAACCCAGCAATTTCAAATGCTGTGTGCTTCCCTCCCTGATCATTCATCCCTAGTAGGTTCAGTAGCAAATTAAGCAAACTCTTTCTTGCCACAAATGCAACAGTTTAATTTTCCAAACATCGGTTGAGTGCCTGCTGTGCTGGAGGTGCCAGGGATTCCAGCATGATAAAACATACCCCGTCTTCTGAGAACTCAGGTCTAGGGTGTAGGGGGTTGTCAGTGGGTATCAGGAAATTCAATGCCATGAGTGCTACGAGTACTTGGGCACTGAGTGCCGGGTCTTGCAGGAGGGGCAATTAGCCCAACTTGATGGGGAAGGAGACAGTTGGCAGAGAATGCTTTCTGGAATTGGGAATCATCTTGGTTGGGTGCTGATGGAAAATGCTAGGTGAAGGGGCAGGGGCTGGGTGAGGTAGGGGAGGGGACATTAAATGTACAACAAGCAGCACAAAGCAAAGGCCTCTAAGAAAAGTCCAGGTAATGGGAAGAAACGTAGAGGGTGGAAACCAAGTTTATGAAAGCAGGGAGGAGGGGAAGATGAGGCTGAGAACACGCAGGACCTTGAGAGGAATATTAGGAGCCGAGTCTATCCTGGGAAGTCACTAAGAATCCAACTGGATTGTGGCAAGATCAGGTTTGTATTATGGATGGACCCCTCACGTTCAAGTGTAGGCAATGACTGAAGGTGGTCATCCTCAAAGGATGGCCTCAGTTAGAAGGCTGCTGCAGCAATCCTGGAGACACACTGAAGGTCAGAACTGTGGTGGCAACAGGAGGGAACAGAGAGGGAGGAACTCATGAAAGAGCTATTAAAGTGGCAGAAACAACAGGACCAGGCGATCCGTTGGATGCGAGAGGAGGAAGAGGCTTGGGCAGCCGAGAAGATTCACCTTAGTAAGGTCCGTGTAGGGAGGACCAGGCCTAGGGCCCGAGGATGGGGAGAAGAGGAGTACAGTTTGGTACAAGCAGAGTTGGAGCTGTGGTGGGACAGCTAAGGTCAGATGTTCTGTGTGTAGATAGTTGGATATTCAGGCCTAGTACAAATCCTGAGATTTGAAAGTCACCAGCTGGATAAAATACACTGAGAATCAAGCCTTACTTGCACCGACCGGTATGCTGAGCTCTTCACAGGCATTATTTCATTTATTCCTTACAAAAACCTATGCAACAAGGACAATCTTGTATAATGAGACAAGGGTAGACCTCAATTTTGGAAGGCTATCTATTTCTTAAAGGTTAAATACGAGCTTCCAATTTACCCACAGATACTTATCCAAGAGAAATGAAAACATATACCAAAAAGTTTTGTTTAAAAATAAAAAAGTATTCATGCCAACTTAATCCACAGCAGCCAAAACTGGAACTAGCACAAATGTCTATTAATAAGAAAATGGATAAACAAGCCATGGTGTATTAGTACAATAGACTATTAATCAGCAATAAAAGGATCAAACCCATACAACAACATGGATGAACTTTTAAAAACACTATGCTAAATAAAAGAAACCACACACAGAACACATATATTCAACATGATTTCATTTACGACAAGGGCTAGAACAAGCATATCTAAGGTGATGGAAATCAGATCAGTGGTTGCTTTGGAATTAGACCAGGGGTTGGCTGGGGAAGGGCAAGAATGGACTTCAGGAAGTGATAAAAAAATCCCATGTAGCAGCCATGTTACATGGGTGTATATGTATTTGTCAAAACTGAGCCACGCCTGCCTCACAAGCGCAAGGTCCCAAGTTTGATCCCTGGTACCAAAAAAAACAAAAAACAAAATTGAGCCAACAGTGCAAAGGCCCTGGGTTCAATCTCCTGTACTGCAAAAATGAAACAAAACATAAAAGAAATGAGCCAAATAGTCACTTAAGATCTGTACATTTTTCTTTTTCTTTCTCGCTCTCTTTTTAAGTACAAGATGGCATCAATCCCAGCACTTGGAAGGCTGAGGCAGGATAACTGCTGTGAGTTCAAGGCCAGCCTGGATTACGTTGTGGGTTCAAGGCCAGCCTGGATTACACTTGTGGGTTCAAGGCCAGCCTGAATGACATAATGAGACCTTGCCTTAAAAAAAAAAAAGGGCCGGGGATTTAGCTCAGTGGTTCTGGCACCTGCCTCGTGAGTGCAAGGTCCCAAGTTCGATCCCTGGTACCAAAAAAAAAAAAAGATTCAGAAGGGCTGCATTCTTAATGTGAGAAAGTTTAAAATACCTAAAGATATGTTTTCTCAACCACTGACATTTCAGACTGGATAATTCTGTTATGGGGACCATGTTATGGATTGTAGGATATTTAGTAGCATCCCTGGCTTCTTTAGAAGCAAAACTGTCCTCTCCTCCATCACAGAGAATTGATTTTCTGAAGAGAAAAAAGGATGCAACACACACGCACACACGCACACACACACACACACAAACACATTTATTTACTTTTTTGTAGCACTGGGGATGGAACTCAGGTTCTTGTGCATGCTAGGCCAGTCCTCTACCACTGAGCTAAATCCCCAGACCCTTATTATTTATTTTTATTTTGAGATAGGGTTGCTAAGTTTCCCAGATTGGCCTCAAACTTATAATTACCCTCCCTCAGCCTCCTGGGTACTGGAAATTACAGGCATGGGCCACTGTGCCAGCCATACGTAAGTTTATTATAAACTTTGCTGATAGAAAAGATGTGTGCCTGAGTCGCGCGGAAGATGCCGAATCACCCCGCTGCAGACAGGCAGATCTGCGCGCGTCCTACCGAGGTCCCGAGTCGTGCGGAAGACACCGAATCACCCCGCTGCAGACAGGCAGCCACCTGGTTCCACATTACAAAGACGCAGAGGACACCAGACCACCACACCACGGACTGAGTCCCGCTGCTCCTGCCCTAGAGGTAGGGGCTTCTGAGCCGCCATCCTACTGCTCCTGGTCCAGAGGAAGGGGCTTCCCGGTCACCATCCCTCCCGCTGCTCCCAGCCCAGAGGAAAGGGCTTTTGGGCCACCTTCTGTCCCGC